GCAGTGCTGTGCACTGATTTAATCTCTTCCATGCCAAAGGCTTACTGAATAGACCTCGATCAAAGGCAAGGAGAGACATGGAAGACGTGTAACAATGTTTATTGACTTTTACTGTCAGCTCCATCTCGGGATTATTGCTTCCTTTGCGGGACACACTGGTTCATTTTTTTCCCTTTTTTTCTGTACTGAAGGCCCTATTGTGTTCCAGTGAATGGCAGATTGGCTTACATGATGAGGTTAGCTAATGCACACCTTAAAACCGAAGATCCTCTGACCCAAACCCAAGTCATCTCTGTGTATTTCCATATGGTAAGATCAAGCCTGTGCCTCTCCTGAGCTTTCATGAGGCCGTAGTGAAACAATGGAGATTTCTGCGCAGTCTGAGGCTCTGAGCTCGGGTCGCGGGTGAATTAAAAAGAGAATTAGTCTTCATTGTATTTTTGCACAAGGTCTTATTGCACTGACAGTAGGGGGGGGGGGAAGGAAGGAAAGAGGTCAGTTTTCTTGGTGGAATTTATACACCCATCTGTACTTAAAGACACATGGTAGAAAAATGGCATTCACATGACTGTCAGCTGATTTGCAAATGAAGGACAGGAGACAATGGATTTCATGCCAGCTGTCAGAAAGGCAGCTGGCCATCTTCATATTTGTCATCTCATCTGCAGCACTTTGACACCCTGTAAAGGACTGCCTGCCTAATGAAAACAACAGGCAGAAAGCTGTACCTAACACAAAAAGAATGGTGAGGGCCTTTGATATATAGACGACTGCATTCTTTAAATAAGCTAGACAATGCTGCCCGTGTCTTTTTTTCCCTCTACATGAGAATGTAGGGCATGAGAGGTTGTTAGCTAAACCAAGTAACCTTTCTGTTCTTTCATCTCTTTCTTCCCAAATTTGAATATGAAAAGCCTTTTTTTTCCAGTCAAAAGACCATCATTTTAATGACATTTGGCAGTCATTTGATTTATTAGGTTTTAGAAAAAAAAAGATCCACTAAATATTTCATATGCCATGCTAATCCTTGTAATATTGCCAGCTGAAGCCTTGTACCTGCATTGCTGGAGATTGAACAGTGTGGATTTCTCTCTGTCAACCTGGTAAAATGCCTGTGAATCTACTGAATAATAAAACACCCTTATTGAAATATTTAGACCTAGATTCTCATTAAAAGAATCTTTTAAACATGAGATAGGTTAATGCGTGGTTAAAAAAAGGCAACAATCCTAAGACTACTTTAAAAAGAGACTAATGCCAAGTAAGCAAGTGGAAAATCTGTTTTCCTTGTGCTCATTTTAATGAGATTTGTATAAAATGTTAATTGTTGTATTGTTGTCATTGTAAGGCACATATCGCTGATAGCATTTAGCAAGCAGAATAAGTGTTACAGTTAAAGTCTTGTAGGCTGATAGTTTTCGGGCTTGTTTCTCTTATCTTATGAGGAATCTCAGATAATGTTTTGTAAAATGCACATTTGCCGGATAGTGTATGAGGATGTGTATGAGGATGTTTGCTTGGATTGAGCGAACAAGGTTCGTTGTAAAACAAGGTATGCAGAAGGTAAAGTTATTGATCAACATACAAAAACTTGCAGCCAAGTTTACACATACCTCAAGTAGCTTTCTTCTGGTACTCCTATAATACTATGGTGAACACTAGGTTTTCTTGAATCAACAGTTAAGCTTAGAAAATGTGGTTGTGTTTACTTCTAGTATTTACAGTCACAGTGCTACAAGTATTAATTACACTAGACGCAGAAGTGTGCTAACTGTGGTCCTCCCAATATAAAAATTGTAAAGACGTTCATTACCATTGCTGCCATAAAACAGAATAAGTTTAAAAATAATGATGCTACATCTGTGTCACAATTACCACTATCTACGTATCGACTCTTAAAGGCATCCGTGCTGAGCAACTATGGTACAAGGATAGTTTTGCTTAAATCGATGCGTTTGATTGCAGAAGCTCAGCTTCTGATCTATGGAGCTTGCACCCAGGGCTGCTTCTGAGCTTGCTGCTGTCAGTGATCAATATCCTTGTGTTTGAAGGACTGTTGTAATTCCCTGCTAGCAAGGGGGAATTGCAATTGATAACAAATACACAGCTTGGTCTACATTTGACCACGGCTCTGTGCCTTATGAGCCTCTTCATTTGAGTATTATACCAGAAATTCTTTTCACATTTACTTTGTATCTTGTAAAAAAAAGTTAAACGTAAAGTTATTAGAAAAATACGTTAGGAAACCCTCAAAGTGAAAAACTGGTTATTTTTCATTTTTTTGAGGTCAGCTGTTTAGTACAATGCTGTGCAGTGTATCTCGGCTTTGAAACTTGACTGTGCTAGACTGACTATATATTATTAAATTACTTCTTTTTTCTTAAGCATCCTAACTCAGCCCTTGTAGCTGCATATACATTATATGCATTACCAGAATTAATTCATCTGTACCGCATGAAGTACCTAAGTCAAGTGCCGTGACATACCACAGCAGCCTTAGATCAGCTAAAGAGCTTGTCAAGAAGACCAGTATTGCACCAATGCACTATTGTAAATCAAGTAAAGTTAAACATAGTAAGAAGGATTGAAGTTAATGGGATTTAGAAAAGGCAATAACAGAAACCAATAAAGCTTCCTTTTATTTAAAGAACCCAGTACACTGTATGTACTATGTATTCATTGTATATATATATACAGTATGTTCAAAGCAGAAATGATCTGTAATCCTGTGGTTGGATGAATCATAAACAGCCTGTTCCTCATGTTCAGGGCAGTATACAGTATGAGTTTGAACAGATGTGCTTTCCGTGGTGAAGCTCTGCTTGCAGTTTGGGCACTGCTGGCTAGCGACTGTCTTTACCCACAAATACTTGGCAAGAATCAGTTCTCTTTCATATCCATTCTTGACCGTACATTGACATCTGGTTCAGACACTGATGTATTGCTAAGTGGCTGATTAAAGAAGGCTCTGTGGACCACCACGGTAGTACAAATAAAAACTTTGGACACTGTTTTCATTTCTATTTCCTTAAGCTTTTTTCCCTCTATAGCTTGATGCTATATGCAGAATACGGCATCCCCATAGCAGAATGTATTATGTATTATGCAGTAGTTAATATGACAGAAAAACCTCTTGATGAATTTCAGCAAACACGGAAATTGTCTTTTTTTCAACATTATGCCTGTCTTTGGGCACATTTTATCAAGACTTGTCACAGGCTAAAGCAATATGGCCTGTAATTGTAATTTAGAAGCATTCACAGATTTCCAAATGTAGTCTGGTTTGATGCCACACTTTGTAATAAACAATGTTGAAAAGTATATGCAATAATGACATGTAAACATTCTTTATAAAATGATTGGGGAGCTGAGTCAGTATCTGTTGGATACAATGGGAAAAATAAAGGTTAATTCCATGCTGAAAAGTAGAAAAAAGAAGTGCAGCACTCTAAGAAGGCTCAACAGCCACAACATTGTTTTCTCTCTAATTTTCTACATGGAATTAACCTTTACTTGTTCTTCTTGTATAAACAGCTCCACCTGCTACAGGTTTCACAGAAGTACAACTTGTCTTCAAATCTTTTCTGTTAAAGTATTTAGCCTTAATAAAACAAACCCCTGTTGTTAAAATGTGCTTTTTATATGAAATCATCAGTCATGGATGCTCAAAGCTATATTTTATATATGCATATATATGTACCTGAAGTCTGTTACAAAGTTGCAACTCTAGGGAAATAACAACTGGAAAATTGCATTTTGCCATTTGCCTAAAGCAACTAGGCCAATTCAAGATAGCAGCTTTCAGCATCTCCATACAGCGTGTCATTGAAGTAATGATTGATGGGTTCTGTGTACCGAAATAGAGTTCTGTGGAGAAAATAAATATTTAAGTGTTCAGAAAGATGCCACAGAAGGAAGACATACTCTTTAATCAGAACAGGCAAAAGCGCACATTCAGCTTAAAGTGACTCATCGGTTAATTAAGCAGATGTTGATGAGGGAATGATCTGCTTTAAAACTGCACTGTTTGCAAGTGTAGGTGAATGGTTCATGAAAATATAGAGTTGAGTGTAAGATCATTCACAAATTGCACATGTGTAAAGCTAGTTAAGGGAAATAATCAGAGCTGCTGAGAATTTAATTAGACATAACAGGCGTTGCTTTGCAGGGCACCAGCAAGGATGAGAATCCTTGAAGGAGCTGACAAATAATTTGCAAACAGTGATATTCACGCTTGACAACTAGAGGCAAACAAATTAACCTCTAGTACGCAACACTGCTGCGTCCTGCATGATTTGCCACCAGTCTCCGACCTAGGACAGCAATTATTCCAAACTTCCAAATTGTGAAGACGAGCAGAACTGACACCAATAAACCACACATCACTGTAATCAGATGTAAATGAAAGGTATGCATACCCTACCCAACACCTGAGCCATTAGCAAGATGTGATCAGGCCATACTGCCAAGACTACAAGATGAACACTGCTGCTACTGTAAATTGTTGATAAAATAATTTCAGAACCTACATCATCATCATAATTTCATGATATTTAATGTACAATATAGTGGGTTGTGCTTCAGGGGTTCTCTTGCTTTGAGATTAATTGAAATGCTTGTGTTACTTTAGCAGACCTGTCTTTTCTCATCTTTAAATTTGAGAAGCTACTCTCATAATAATGCAATGTATAAAGAAATTAAAAACTCTCCTGTTTAGTAATTCACGTTGAGAACATATTCTTAGAAAAAAGCAATCAAATACATGTATTAGTTCTTGAACAAGTGGGTGAGAAATGTATAAGTAAGTTCCAACGTGTTGCCTTTAAATTGCTGTTATGTGAGCATGCCAGTAAAACTATTCAGTGTGTGGCTAAAATTAGGTATTTTAGTGGTTTATAGCAAAGAGTATTCAGATCCTTGTCTGTTAAAAGATGCTACAGTATAAAGTTGATCCTGTTACTGGTTCCCACTCCACTACTCCAGTTTTGTTTAATCTGCAGCCATCCAGTCGCATCCGTGTTGAGATCATCTCTCTCAGCCTGAATCCGGACTCGTCTGTGGCCATGGATGACAGCATCCGAAAGCTGTTTGTGGAGTACAGGCTGCTAAACCAGTCTGCGGAGGAGACACCACTGTCGCTGCCCAAACCAGGCAGAGGCCAGAGTATTCACTTCAACTACAGCACCAGTGAGTATTGTGCCATAGAACCCGCTGGGACGGGTTGAGACAGGCCTAACGCTTCTTCCCTGCCACACAGCAGCTTTCCCTCTCCAAGCCCGTCTCCCCTTTCTGTCATTCCATCACTGTCCCACAACGCACATTAACTTAACTGTCAGTTGCAAGTGAACGATGGAAGAAAGGCAGAAAGGCACACCATTCTGGGAACTGTTGTGTCTCAGAACACCACCCCGAGAGTAAAGGGGCACATTCGCAGAAAGCAGTGCAGTGGCCACTGTCACGAGGGCCAGATCTTTTGTGTTAATGGGGCTAGATGCTTGCTATAAGGACAGTGGTATGGAGTGGTGCTTAGGGCTCTAGACTCCATATTGGGGTCCATGGGTTTTAAAACCCAGGAGGGAAACCTCAATTGTACACTTGAGCAAGTCATTGTAAATACTTAGTCCCGTAAATACCCAACTGTATAAATGAGCACTCTCCAGGTTGTCACTTTTAATCAGAATATGTTCTTAATTGACTTATCTGATTAAATAAAGGAGTGATTTTTAAAAGAGTGCCCATTCACAACTTTCATTAGGTAACATTACACTTATGATACAATATTATGTTAAAATAAAGTAAAATATTCAATATACATTGCATTAAAGCTAGTCTGCTTTTGCTGTCCATTTTTCGTTTTCTATAATTTTCTCTTCGAATGTGTTCTCCTTAGCTCTGTGTCCCTCAATCTTGGTTAATGTCATAAGAAAAGACTGTAATCTGATAATGGAAATTAATCCAAGTAGGTGTTTATCAAGTTTTTTTTACTCCTTCTCTCACTTAGGAGGCCCTAATTAGACTCGTCTGCATGGCGCTATTCAGGTTGAACAGAATATTATCTTTAATAAAAATGAGATTTACCTGAACAGCAGCCTAGAGTGAAATTAATAGAGTCATTGGGTTCAACTGTGTATCCACAAGCAATAAAAATCTAAAGCTACATGGAAAACTCATTAATTCAGTTAAATCCATCTGTTATTTGGAAATTTTCACTGTAATATTTTATTCATATTTTTATATAGTGCAACATATTGGTGCTTATTTTAAAATCGTCTTTCTTTTTTACATTCCAGACAGACCACATGAGGTCTGATTATTAATGTACTGACTTCCAAAAATATAGGTATTTTTTATATCAAGCATTATATCTCCAATTTTAGGACCACTTCTAACAGACAAGCAGAATACAGTAACTAAACGAAAGCTCGTCTCACCTCAGATGTGTGCGTAGCTGCTTGTTTTCATTGCTTTCCAATAGTAGACGACAGCACAGACACTAGAGACTATCTCTGTGGTCCTGTACTACAAAAAAAATTCTAAGCAAAAGTTTAATCACAGCCAATATATTGGTTAACACCTCATTATTGATCATTCGAAGTAATGGATGAGGACTCCAGCAGATTTGTAGGTGGTATAGATTTTTGTCTGAAAAGTGCTTATAAGTAAAAATGGTTTTATTTAATGGCTTATTGATCCCCTCCCCCAGCCTGTAGTATTAAGGAAGTAAAACTAAATACATTTAAAAAAACAATTTAATTTGCTGAGTTCTGGGAAGAATTTTGTTTAAGGAAAAACAGCCCATTGTTGCTACAGAGGTTTGACACCAAAATAGTGTCTAGGGAGACTCTGGCAGAATCCTCATGAATTACTTCACAAGAAGAGAATGGAAATAATTGTGATAGTGCTGCATTAAAATTTATCTTCTGCCGAACCACGAATCATCACCGTACCTCAGGGCATTTAGAATCCTGATTGCAGATACCAGTTAACAGATTTTCCCCCTCGATTATTCCTGAATTTTAAGTTACAGTGATACAGTGATAGGTAATGTTTTAAAGCTGTTAAGTATTTTTCACAACGTACATTTGGCAACATCTGAGATCATTTGCATTAGAACTGAAGATCCAAATTGGTTGTGAAGTCAACAGCAATTGAAGTATTGAACTTGTTGGAAGGGTTTTCCTAAAGTAGAAAAGGACAGCCCTAGTGTTGTTTTTTCTTTTATCCTGTGGATGAACTTAGAGTAACACAGTCATTTTTTATTGTTTTTTTTACAAAGGCCCTCCTCTGAACTACTTCAGATGTTTTTCACAGGCTGAGTCACAGTTGTCTGGCCGTCCATTTTCATTGACCAGTTTGTTAATGTCCTCTTCAGTCAGCATCTAGGTCACAGTGAGCTAGGGCCTAGCCTGACTGACCATGGGCCCAGGCAGGAAACAGCCAGGACAGGGTGCCAGTCCATCGCAGGGCACACATATGCAGGTTGACTCGCACATGATCGATTCAGTGAGATACACCAGTTAACCTAGACGGCACAACTTTTGGACTGTGGAAAGTAACCATAGGACCTGGAGAAAACCCACGTGGTCACAGAGGAACATGCAGACTCCACACAGAATGGACCCCAGGCCAAAATTAGACCCAAGCGCTTAATGCTTTATAGGTCGGAAAGGTGGTACAACATCTCTTCCACTTAAATTTTTGCTTTCTTCACAGTTACACCAATCTGTGTCCTGAATGATGCACTTTTTTAAAAGTGCACATTCTCCGTTTTGTTATACCTACCTCATTTGGACTCACCAGTTGTGTTTGTCAGCTTCAGCACCAACTGGAAGAGAGGCTGGGCCTCCAGCACAGCAAGCCTGCAAGTGCCCAGGAGGCCACTGGGGTTTTCTGAGTTGCAAGAACCCAGAGAGTCTGAGCAGACTAACCCTTGCCTGCCCTTAGCAGCACTCTGTGAGTCACTGCTCAGGAAATCCCAGTTACAGTAGGCTAGTGACCTGACCCAGGGTGGAACCATCTATCACAGAGTTTAGGTGGTTCTGGAATGTGCAATTTTATGCTCTTTGTGTCACTTATCCCAAAGTATTACTTAGAAGAATAATGATTTTTTTTATTGACAAGACATTAAAATAATATATGAGACCCATGCTTTTTAATGCCGTGGCCTTGTAAACTTCACTGCAGATCCCCCAGGAAGCAGCTCTGATTTTCCACCTGTCAACATCAAGATGATCAACTACAAAACAATAATAGCACTTGGACACATTTTTGGGACACAAGTGTGGATGTGTGCCTGCAGAGACGATCATTTGTAAAACATGATTGTGTTTTCTTACTCATGCTAGGTGAAGGGGAGGGGGGGGCAGAAAGGCATTCACTAGTGTTATAGACTGGGCTCTTCCTTCGAGCCATGGCGGGAGTGGTGGATTAAATTACTGGCATTGTCAGAAAGGACAAGCTCCCTGCCATATACTGTCATTATCACTGGCTCCTCGGGCCAAAGGAAGGGCATTAAATCCCCTCAAATACATGACAATAAAGACTGCGGGCCTTTCCAATTGAGACTGCCAGTGTCATTAACAGGAGATGACAGTTATGTGGCATACTCAGCCATTGCCTGTATCTCTTTTGACAGCGTGCACATAAACCTGCCAGCAACAAAGACATCCAATCACATGATCTGTGGATTTAATACCAGGCTTGCTCTTGCTCCCTGCTTCCCTCTCTTTGAGTAAACAACGAAGAGCAGGTAGAGGGGGCAAGGAGTGGAAACAATCACAGCTGCCCTGCTTTTTATACTGCTTTCTAAATGGAATGTAAGAACCTTCTAATGTCACATTGTATCAAGTAACTGGCTGTCTGTTGTCCTGACAGTGATCCATGTGGATATCGAAAATAACAAGCCAAGACGTGAGATCCTGAGGTCGGTGCTCCGGGGAACTGAGCCAGCACTGGAGAGGTAAATATTAGTGGCAAAAAAGAATTAGACATTTTTCCTGTTACCTGTCGGAGCTGTGATAAGAATGCACTCTGCCAGGCAAGACAACTCTTCCCAACAGGATGATGATATGGGTCCTGTTCCCCGACCCTACACTGTACAACCTCTGTCCGCCTGTCAGCCTGTGTTCATGTTCCTCAGAGCTCCTAGCCCTCTGATAGATGGGGAGTATCTACTGTATTGCAGCAGCTGTTATACACTGACTCTGTAGCACAGCACGCCTTACTTCTTGTTCCCAATTATCGCAGTCCAGAAGGTTTTAAGTGTCTTTTAATATTTACTTCTTTAAGTTAGTATGCAGAAAATACAGAAATCCAAGTTTTCTGAATGCAAAAAAAGATATTTGAAAGTCTTGTCTTTTGATAGTCGAGATAGTTATCCTGATTAAAACAAAAGGCACTCCGTGTCATAAAAATGATTATAAAGGTAAGATATTGCCTCTCAACACCTAAACACAACACAGTGTGTCATCATCTTCAGGGCAAGTCAGGAAAAAGGTACAGATTTATGAATTAGAATCCCTTTATTTTCCATTACTCTGACAGAAACCAAAAACAATTTCAGCATATGTAAATTAAGATTTAAAAAATGTGTGGAACGAAATGGTGATAATGGGTTCTTGCCCCTCCTAGAGATGTAGACAGATCCGGTCCAGACCTTAGAGGGCTAAGACACCCATAGTTTATAATAAGATTCTTGGAGAACACAATCTAAAGAGGACCAAGAATAAATGCATTTTTAAAATAATAGTTTTCCTCTTCATTTAATTTCCATACAGAATACATTATTATACCATTGGCATCAGGCACGTCTTTACACACATGTAGAGTGTGATGAAAATACAAGTGCACCCCCTTAAGTTTTTATGGTTTAACATTTTTAGACATATTTGACCTTCACCTAGTCCTGATAGTATATATAACTAACCTCATTTGACAAACGTCCCAAAATTCTGCTGTTATTTTTTAAATAAATTGGCCAAAATTCCTTATCTTTGGGTAAAAATTAATTGTGCAGTCACAACCCTAGATATACAGTATATAGACATTTTGTTATTATTATTTTCAGACTTTCATAGGTTAAAAACTGAACTAAAATGTTATTTGTAAGAGTTATGTGCCAACTATAACCAAACATAGTTTAATCTTTACGTAGCCTACAGTAACTGTTATTCTCACATTTCGGTTTTCCTTCTTTGTACTTTATATATATATATAATGATAATTGGCCATTAAGTTTGTAGTTGACAACTGTGAAAATGCCACCCAAGAGCACTTTTGCTCCCAGGTATAGACATTTGGCAGAAATAAAGACTGCTGTGAGTTTCATGAGGATATCTTGATGGATCTGTCTTGCAGATAATATTTCCGACTCAGAATTAAAAGGAGATTGTTTCAGCAGTAAAGTGTTTATAGTATTTAGAATTAAACACTGTTGATTTTTAGATTTCACAGGAAAGCAGATCTTAATTCCCATTGAATCGGTGATAGTTTACTTTTTTGTTTTCAGAACAATAATTTGTTTTTGTTGCACCGCAGTGCCTGAGCTTTGATAATTTTTATCAGTATATTTTACATTCAATTATCACTGTTTGAATTCTTTGAGGGTAAAAAAAGACTATGCTAAATTGGATTGCATTCAGCTCCCCGTTTGTTTGACTTCAGTTGATCCTTATCAAGAGTTCAAAGCCGTAGAGCCTACAAGCGTTCAAGGTTTAGAAAGCCTTGCCAAGGCATATCAAAAGAAGAGTGCTTTGCTATAAATTCCTGTCCTTTAGTCCATCCAACTGTCTTGGCCATAGCACAAGCCACTAATGCAAATCAGCCCATACAGATCACTATAATTATACACAAAAAGAAAGGAAGAAAAACAGAGCTTGGATATTGTTTAAAATATGAGGCAGTTTTTGCCCCCTGGGTGAAAATTTTCCTTTATCTGTGTAGTTTTTTTTTTTCAAATTTAGACCAGATTTTTTTTTTTCAGTAGTAGTTTTGCAAGAAGAAAATAAAGGCTCGGGCTTGAACATTTATCATTTTTTTTACAACTTGAGATTAATGTATTTCAACAAAAATGGCACTGACGTTTGGATCAAGACTAGGAAGATTTGGCAAGATTGAAATGTTGACTGTGACAGTATAATTGCCCCTCCAGTGAAAAATAAATTAAGCCCTATTCTTGGAGCATGCTGCAGTAGTTTGTCTCCAGCACTGTTTTTTTTTTTTCATTGTACATGAGCTTCCGTTTTGTCCAGGTCAGCAGGTACATGGCTACTGTACAGAAGGACTAAGGAGCTATTTCCATTTCTTTCTGGCTATACAGAAAACTATTGTAGGGCAGTTGATGTCCCCTGGAGCAAGTTCAGATAAGGCAGGCTCCCAGTATAGCAGCCTAGATGCAATATAAAGCTCTTACGCAAGAGAAGGACCAGAGAATTAATCTGGATAAGAGAAAACGTAGACAGCAGGCTGGTGGGCAGTATCAAACTGACTCAGCCAGTATTGGTTCCAGGAGTGTGTTGAGATACGGACTGAGCTGTAACTGTCCTGCTGGGTTCAGTGTCTCCTCTTCATCCTCGACTCACCAGGATCCAGTAACCATTCCCTGTAACTCCTGATAGGCCTTGGATTTTTTTGTTTTGTTTGCCTAATCCTGATTTATTCAATCCGTTCTCTGTACCTCCTGAACAGTTCACCATTCTTATTTCTTTCATTGTGTTGAGCAGAAACTGACAGGGCTGACAGATAGCAGGACCCGTGCACTTCATGGGAGAGAACTGCCAAAGGAAATTCATTAACCTTATTTCATAAATGTAAAACAAACAGTTGTTCTAGACTGTTTTACCAGCAATGAAATGTCCACATCCATGTCATTTCCATAGCTATAAATCAAGGTAAATTGTGTTATTTGCAAGGTACCACGCATGTCTGTAAATGTACAAAAACATGGCCAACAATATACAATGACAAAAAATAAGAAGCAAAAGTGATAAGCAATGAGAAGTCTGTGAATGAAATACCAATTATTAATTAAAGACAAGATGCACAGTAATACTGTAAATTTCAGGTGTTCTACAAAAATGCTGACCACTTTCTGTGCAAGGTCATACCCATTTATATCTAGTGCTACTATGATCATTCCTCATAGATCTTTGTAAAAGTGTGTCATGGTGAATTTCCTCTTTGTTTGCCAGTATAAAGTTCACAGTAGTGAGCGACCCCCCTGAGGAAGAGCAGGATTTGGAGTGCGAAGATGTGGGTGTGGCTTTCCTGAGGATCCGGGACATCCTGGAGCACAGGCGAGACTTCATCGACTGGAGCCTGGACAGTAAGTAACTTCACACACTCGGGACGCTCTAAGACATTCCCCATATTTGTTTCCCAGCAACATTTCCTTGATTTCAAATGCCCAGCCTACCCCAACTTCTGACGGCCATGATGCAAGCTGTGGGCTTGAGAATCAATAGATACGTTACAGCAAGCACTGTTGAACGGAACTGTGGACAGGGACTCGGTTACTGCTGTGAGTCTATGCATGGCCTTCCTTCACTTTGCACAGTGTTGTTTTGTTGCATTAAGCAAGAACTGCCTTTCTTTCACAAGTACTGTAATCAGTTTTCAGATTTGTTTCTCAAAACGGGAAGAAATTAGCCCTTTAAGAGCTCAATCTGTTAAAGCTCCTACAAGTTTAGAGTAGTAATCTCTCCTCTGTGTTCTGAAAGTGTTGTATGGCTTTTAATACAACCACGGGCGGCGCGGTGGCTCTGTGGCTAAGGATCTGCACCTGTGGCTGGAAGGTTGCCGTTTCGTATCCCACAGCCAGCAGAGGAATCCTACTCCGTTGGGCTCCTGAGCAAGGCCCTTAACCCCAACTGCTCCAGGGGCGCTGTATAAATGGCTGACCCTGCGCTCTGACCCCAAGCTTCTCTCTCTGTCTGTGTGTCTCATGGAGAGCAAGCTGTGGTATGTGAAAAGATAAATTCCTAATGCAAGAAATTGTATATGGCCAATAAAGTGATCTTATCTTAACAGCACTTACTTTATGCAGGGTAACATCAGCGTTCAAGACACTTTCTGCTACTATAGAGGAGACCTTAGAGTCAGGTATAGATTATTAAAGAGAAAATATATTGCTTAGGAGGAGAAGGTGTATGTCATGAACAGTTCTTTAAAATAAATAATAAAACAAGTAGAATATCCTGCTTTGAAAGCCCATCACTTTTGTGTTTATTAATTTAAAAGTATGTTGTGAGTTTTATAATCCGTGTAATAAAAATTCCAACATTGTTCTGAGTGGAGTTTCATGTCTGAAAATTAATGGCATGAAAGAATAGGACTGCATAAAGAATTCACAAGGAAGTAAGAGGAGGTTTTCAGATATATGTAGCACAATGCAGAAACACCAGAAATAGCAAAGGGTTTCTGTGTTTTTACACTTTCTTTAGTAGAAAAATTTGTTTGTTCCCATGTCAAGACTAGAAAAATACGATGCCTCAAACACACTTGAGAGATGTAGAATTTTCCCAGGCTGGCCACATTGTTCAGTGTGATGATAATATGGTTTGTTCAGACCTTCCTGTTTGAAAACACTACTGCTTCGTTTATATATAGGTAAATGAAAGCAGTTTAACTGTAACTACTTGGTGTATCCTGTGAACATTCTGTAAGGCCTTGGGAAATGGCTCTCCTACATCGTGTTCATTGTCACAGTGTCACGCGCGTATAGTCCTTTAAACTATCCGTGAAAATACTTCTCTTCTCTTTTATCAGGGCAGCCTCTTGCATTCTGTGCTTGTAGCCACAGAATGGTCTAAAGCTCTCTAGTAATATGTGAACAGGTGCTGGGTCTGGTTGGCAGGTCATTGCCTTCACCTCAGGTTTGGTAACAGTGAAGCACTGACTTTCAAAGCTTTTTGCTTCAGTGCGTAATTTGCTTTGTTCTATCATACTACAAACTCTATTTTCCAAATCAATAATGCTGTTATCTCCAACTGGAAATATTTTATTATAATAATAAACTTTATTTTATATAGCGCCTTTAAAGGTGGCTTCTCAAAGCGCTTTACAGGATGACAACAGCTATAAATAAGAATACACAAGATAAAACACAATTACAATATATAGAGGAGACCGTGGATGGTGGTACTAAGAAAAGCAGAGGGGTAAAGAATAGAACCAGTAAAGTAAAGGCTTTTCTGAAGAAGAGGGTTTTGAAGAGGGTTTTGAGTCTGGATTTGAAGTAGTTTAGAGAAGGTGACTCTCTGATATCCTTGGGGAGAGAGTTCCAGAGCTTGGGGGCATAACAGGAGAAGGCCCTGTCTTGACGGACTTGGGGGACAGTAAGGAGGGCAGAATTTGAAGAGCGGAGGTTGCGAGGTGGGGAGTAGGGTGATAAAAGTTCAGACAGGTACTGAGGTGCCATAGCCTTATAGGTGAGCACGAGGATTTTAAAGTCTACACGGAATTTGACCGGAAGCCAGTGCAAGGACTCCAGGATAGGAGTAATGTGAACACTTGCACTAGACCTGGTCAGGATTCTGGCTGCTGAGTTTTGGACATACTGCAGTTTGTTCAGAGTAGATTTAGATACCCCAGCATGACTTTTTTAAAAAGAAATCGTAGCGGGTTGTGCTGTGGAACCGTGTTGTGCACACTGACGTGTCCCACTGATGGCGCGTTTGTCTTGCCGTGTTGTTGCAGTTGTGGACGTGCAGGAAGGCAGCGTGGTGATCGGGAGTCTGAAGGTGACACTGGAAGCTCTGGATGCCCTGCAGTCCATCATGGAGGAGCCCTGATGTTCCCACAGCCTGTCCTCTCCCCACACTACGACATTATTTTTATACTTGATGTAACATTTGTAAATCTATTTGTATGTTTTTGTAATTCTGCGCGTCGAAAAAATCACTGTAATTCGTAGCTCCGGTGTAAATACAATAACAACAACAACCACGAAACAATGGAAAATAGTGCCTTTTGTGTCAAGGATTGGATCCACTTGCAGTTGTAGAATTCAGTGTTTATGTAATAATGTTGTGTGAAACTCAGTTAATTTTTTAATAAAATATTTCTTTTCAAAGTGCCAGCTCAGGATTTAAGCCCTGGCATGCACATTCTAAACTGAAGTTTGGGCGTTATCCCTAATCACTCAACTAAATGAAAAGCCTGCTAAGCCTCATTAGGAGTTTTACACTATGACGATTTTATTGGAAGTGCTAGATGAAAATTGCCTGGATTAATGTGTTAATCTACCTCTTTAAAATGCTAATGTCCATTTTATGCACATTAAATCTCAGTATGCATTTTCTTTGATGCATGCAATTTCTATCAATTAAATACAGAGGAGAAAAACAGGCACAGCACAGATTACTTCTCATGCTTCAAGCATGGATTTTGTTGTTGTTTTTTTTGGTTAAAATGCACCCTGAATAGAGAAAAAAAGGCAGTAATACTTAATGCAGAAGAATCCTGTGAAATGAAATATTGGCGATGCTGTCTAAGCTAAATTCCTTTGAAATCTATAAAGTGCATGCACAAAGATTAAAGCATATGACTAAAGGACTGAACAAAAAATTCTTAAAAACTGGTTGGGAGATAAGCAAATCAAATTTAAGATTTGTTTCTATAGCCTGTAAGGTAAGTATACTTACTCATTGAACAGATTTCATGCAAAACCAGCAGTGCTCAATTTATAGTCCTGAAGAGCCATTCAACACAGTGTTGTAGTGTTAGCAACAAAGAGCATAGTAATTTCTTCTATGGTTGGAGGTTAAATATTCCAACAATAGAATCAGCAGGTCTGAGAAATTCTATAATTCAATTTTTTTAAAATATTTTCTCATATTACACTCAGAAAGTGTAGATACATTGTTTTAATTATATTTTTGCACAAAACATATAAAAGTCTTTTTTTAAGTTTTCTGCATACATTTGTATAGGGAGCAGGTGGGAAATAGTTCTATGTGGGATAAATTCTTATTAGAACAATGTATTTTTGTGAACACAGGACAATCCATTTGTGAACACAGGACAATCCACAGGACAATCCATTTTGAGATTTTAGCTGCATACAAGTCAAGAGCATTTATATTTAGTATAAATGTGAGTATGGAACATATAAGATGTTATATATTACATATAAAACTTTTTATTTCTGCTCATAAAGAAGCTTTCGAGTCATGAGAAAAAAACAGTGGTGGTTAGCTTGGAATTCTTCTCCTCAAGTACACAGAGATGACTTTGAGATGCTTTGAAAGACAAGCAGTGACAGCATTTATCTGATCTGAAAATATGGTCTGTTGCACCATAAACTGCTTCCAGACGTTTATACACGGCCACATTATTTAGAGAGAACTGCACACTAAAATGATTCCAATAAAGTCACATCACAGGAAGACTGTGTTTATCACTGAGAGCAGAAATTGATTTATAGAAGGGTATACATTTCTTGTCTGTACTGCTTTTATAGAACTGGATATAGATATACAGATACAGAACGTTTGTGATCCATGGAACACATACATATACTGTATAGTATATACACACATGCAGTTGTTGACAGCCAAAGAATGCTCCACAGCCAAAACGTTTTTCTATTCTTTTCAGCATGGAATAAACCCTTACTTTTTCCTTCACATACAGTGTATATATATATGTCCCACAATCACAACGTGTTCTTGCTTTTTTTCTTGCATATGACACACCGCTTCGGGATACAAACCTGAAGAAACTACCAGAACTGTGTTTTTCCATTCTAGTGTTCAGCCTGAAATCAGTCTGTAACGTAGATTAGTATACATATCTGCACACAGGTCCATTGAAGTTGTGTTGCCAGTTCAAAACAATAACAAAGCAAAATTCAAATCCTTATATTCTGCCTGTGTGGTATAACATGTCTAACCTACATAAGGGCAGAAAATGATCTCCCATTGTTATGTAAATGGTATCATTTGGTTAAAATGGAGCACTGAAACAGACCGACAAACGTAACCTAATAAAAGCAATGGTTCGGAAAGCACTATAGCTGAAACACGCCTTGAGCTTCATCTTGCTTTCAGCCTTTGAAAAAGAAGATGGAAGAGAGCATTGTAAGGACACGAGTGCCGAGAGGGTTTCAGTCAGTGGTGGATGTCAATGTACCCATTATCAGCCCCTTCTTCTTCGTCACTCCTCTTTGTTCAAAGTGATCTGGTCCATTTTCACTATTTGCAAACATTTCCTGTCCCTTCATAAGCATATGTAAAGCATTCAGTGGGATGAGTAATTTATTAAAATCTACCTAATTTTCCGTGATATATTAAATCTCTGCTTCAGTAATCATAGCCCATTTCATTTAGCGAATTAGGCACCCACTACTTTGTGTGATTAAAGCCCTGGAAAATGAGGCCTGTGCTCATATTAGTGAACATTCAAAGCCTGCTAATGGTGTGGCGATGGAATAGATTATGAGACAATTCATTACAGTTCAACGGGGGAAAAAAAAAAGCCTTCCATAATGCAAAAAATGCAAGCATGAATATCTGCATATAGTCTGAACCATCTGTGCTCTAATGGCTTCAATAATGGCTGACCATCTTCAGCAGGCTTTGAAATGACATCCATGCAATATTAATTTGTTGATGTACAGTGTGAAGCTGTTGGAATAATTGTGCCCACGCTCAGCATGGGAGCAGGCCACAAATGCCGTGAAGAAATGACACTGAAGACTCGGTCCCTGGGGGAGATCTGCAGCACCCTAACTCCAGAGATCGCTAATCCTCATAACTAAAACATTCCCCCTGCAACTTCTCTGCAAAAACCGCAGACATCTGCACAGTCTACCGCACCATCCCCAGTCAACAGCCACATGTCTGATGTCACTTGGGCCGCCTCTTATCTCATTCTTTTGGATCCCTTCTCCAGCTTTCTTTGGCTGTGCTTTGCTAAATCATCATTAGGAACTATCAACTATTATGGTAATTCAAACCAGTCTGGATCATCAGCAAGATTAATTGGGGCAGCCTAGGAAAAATGGCATTGTGGTGCATCTTTCCAAACCAGACGTGTTCCTTTTAGTGCTTCCTCTGTCCCAGCAAGCATACAGTACACTCTGCATGTGAAGTCAAGTCAGCGCTGGGGTCAGGATGACTACACCCCTTGAGTGACAAATGACTCTCTGCCTGCTTTCACTCACGAAACTCGTCGGTTGCCTCCTCCACAACAGAAACCAAAACAAATGCTGAAAAAATAATAACAACAACAGCACAATCTTTCACTGCCGGCCAAACCTCCTAAAAGCACTGCCTTTATATTGTCCAAAAACACAGTTTCTTCAAATGGGGCAACTGTTTCGTGTTTAAAGAAAATTAGCAGCCCCAGAGTTTGAGGTTGAGCGTGACACATGCGCTCTTTGTGCTTTCTAATTATGTCATTTTAGATCCCAGTCACTGCAAATAAGGACCAAGATGTCCACAAACCAGCGCAAGACAGTAAGGGACCACATGCCCCCAAGGAATTGTTTGACAAACACTCTTGGACACTGCCAAGCTAATGTGGTTATCTGATAACTGTCTGCTGTTAAGCGGCTCCTAGAGGCTCCGACACTCTTTTCGATCGACTTAAACACGTCCTGTCAGTAGATCACGCGCACTCAACAGCTAACCCGCATGCCGCAGAGAGCTGGGGCGGTGTGCGCTCCAAGGACTGAGGGATTTCATTCAAACATGCAGTCCCAGTTCCTCTGCTGTTCCAGCAGTTGCTAGACTTCAGCAAAGCTGATCCCACGCTCACGTTCATCTCCTACCTGGTCACTCGTACTGACAGATTTGTCGCTCCCGTGAAGTTTAGATGTCCCGACCCTGGTTAATACAAGAAGAGCAGAAGAACTACAGCTTATTTGAAAATGTAGTCTACATAATTAAAAATTCAATATTCCAATTTGTGAAGCTTACAAGCCATAGGTTCGAATGCAAGGCACTTAAAAGTGCAAACACTGCCCAGTGCCTTGTGGTCTACTGAAGATGTCCCTAGTGATTGTGGTGGGTGAGGGGAGGGTGCGTGGAATGGATTGTTAGCTTAAATGCACCTGTGCTTTTCGCCACAAACACCTCGTCCTCCACAGAGCTGAGCCGTAAGCAGCATAAAGAAAAAAATCCTTGTATTGACCGGATGTTGCGTGAGAGCAGCCCCACTGCATAGGTGGAGAGAAGAGAAACTGCTTCACCAATTGAATAAAGAGGGCTAGACTGTACAAGCCCAGGACAGGCAGGTTAACTACTGTTTTACAAAGTGCCATGTGATCCTTAATGACAGAATCATCAGGGTCTTGGTTAATGTCTCACCAGAAGGATGGCACCTCCTAAAGCACAGTGTCCCGGGCACTATAGTGGGGCATTAGTCTTGGAAGTTCTGACCCAGAGGGAAAAGAGCACCTCCTGGTACACTACTGTCAATAGCCTGGTGTTTCACTGCAGTATGGTCTAAGTGCATTTAAAATAAAAAACAGGGGGCACTTCTTTACCCAGAGGTTGTAGGAATGTGGGACACACTACCCAGCTATACTGTTGAAGCCGATACCCTTTGGCCCCTACAAGAAACAGCTGCATCAGTTAACGATGACCTTCTAAACAGGCTAGCCGGGCCAAATGCCCTCCTCTCTTTTGTAACAGTTCTTATGTCCTTGTAAGACCACCTATCTTGCTCTGAAGGGTGAAGCACTAGACACTGTAACTCCTAACAGCTGCTTCATCCCAGCTCTGCACCAGCGACACCACCGGCACTGCTTGGGGCATGCTACTATTGCTGTTGTGCCACTGTTGATATATTTTATCATTCGTTGGGCTGCTCTGCTGTTGAACTGCATTCAAATTAAAACAAGGACTCCCCTCTGCAGAAGGGAAAAACGACATTAACCAGATCATGATTTTATTAGCTATGTTTTTAGTTGTCACCACAAACATGGAAACACAGAAAAAGAAAAAAAAAGCCATTAGTTCACTGGCATGTCACATGACCTAAGACCACAATGCGCAATTCCCCAACCCTTCTGGTAAAGGAGCATAAATTCCAGCAGAACGTTGACATCGGTGGCCGTGCCAATATGAAACGAGGCTCTACATCTGTTCAGACAACGGTCCTCTTAAAATTTTTGTGGATTTGGAAAATAAGATTCTTAGTCAAACTGGCACCCCTATTAAATGCAAAATGATTTCCGTATGCATTAGACAGCAAAATTCGAGTGGCGTCTTTGATAATGGGCAAGCAATAAAAGAACACAGAAACAGGAATCTGAACCTTATCTCCAGGCTGCCAAAACGATAAAGTAAATCCTTCTTAACGCAACCCTGCCCCATTCTCTCTCTCCCGCCCCAACCCCACACTCTGCATTTATTCATTTTCAGACTGAGCAGGAACGTGATTAATATTCCATGCCACACACTTCATCATCGGGGCTACTTTAATTCGTATTTGCAAACCCAAAAGATGCATCTCCGTAATCTTAATAAAGTGCTAAATTATAAATAGGTAAAGAGGTTTGTGGGTTATTCAGTCGTGGGAG